ATAGTTTCGCACTCGTTTTGAGACGATGTTCACCACGAGCTTCAGCAAACTGAAAGCAGACGCGGGGACTGTGGCTGAATTATAGTGGGCGTAGAGTCGCGCCGAATCCACCCCACTCTCTCATCACTCCCATACCTGTGCCCGATGTCAAGACAAACGTCGCGAAGACCTGATATGGGGGAGGGTACAAGTGGCTGGTGCGGTCGAGGCCGATCTTAGGCGTGCCACAAAGCTCAGAACGGTCAGTTTCGCAAGAGTAGTTCGAAGCGACTGGCTGGACGACTCTTATGAATACACAGACGAGGCCGTGACAGCCACCGCCGCCACCATGCGGCCTGCAGATTTGGTAGGCGCCACCGGCCGGTATTGACTCCTCTGGATCAAACACAGAGAAGATACAATTAACCTGGTAACCATGTACACGGCCTAAAAACCCAGTGAGAGCGCAAACTCGTACACTGACAGAGAATCGGACCCAAGGAAATTGCCAGCGTACACCAGGCTGCAGGTACCATGATTTGCTGAATCTTGGCTTTGCACAAACACACAATACTTAAACAAGGATACTGTCAATAGACAATGACAGTATCATGATAACGATGGCTTACACCCAGCCAGAGATCAATTTATTCTTACCAGGGCAATTTTCGAGTTATTTAACTATCTCATGAAAGGGATATTAGGTCCCCCTAAACCTGACAACTTGGCGGTGTGACGCATAGGGTGACTTTAAATTTGTCTACCATGCACAGCAAATACAACGCTAAGATATATATGCTGCGGTCGCAACCAGTACATGTATGGAAAAAACTGTCAAATTAAGGCTCGAGAAATAAAAAAACGCCAGTAAAGCGAGTTCAGAAGGTGAGAGGCAGAACAAAAAGGAGTATCGAGGAATAAGGCTTGGTAGAGTTAACCCTTGTTACTACGATTTTCCAGGCCCAGTTCCTTAGGAGTAGAAGTGGGAGTCCAGATTGATATGAACAGTTTATTCTGTACATAAGGAATGTAGAATAGGTGGGAGGAGATTCGACTGTCAGACTAGCGCGCGCCCGTAGGTCAGCGGGCTGCATCTAAACTGATGAAAGCGTAGGGCACTGCCAAAACTCAGAAAATGCTCTGTTCCTGTAGCCAATCAGAAAATGGGTCTCACTGATTGGTGTGAGTTTTCACGGAGGTAGACTAAGACTACCGAGGCTGCGGTCGATCCGAGAGGCGAGTGCGTGCTAATTTGATAAAAAACAAGAACGATCGGGGCCATAAGACAAAATAGAGGAAGCATTTGGTGGCAGGGTTTTGAAAACTATAGCCTTAAACTGTCATTTTTGTTTATTTTTTCATCCCCTCTCGTTTTATTTTTCTTTCCCGTGTGATGGTTTATGTTAGGCTTGTTCCTCTCATTCTTCCTGGTGATGAAGAATTGCCCGTGCTGTTACGCATTGACATTCGGTGTATATTTAAACGGCTGAGTGCTCCTTTTTTGTTATCTATGTCATTTGAAGCCCCCACGACATTTTCTTCGAACCCATATAATTATTGCTGAATATGTCTGTTTTTAAATTCATAAAGAGAACTGTAGGCTTCAAGCGCTTGATAAATGGTACCTCCTGCTGGGTAGAATTGATTCACGTGAACCTATTCAAATACCTGGATAGGCTTTTTTATTTGTGTTTGATTTAATTTGGCTTCACTGGCCATTGCAGTAGACCGTTTATGCAGTCCACCTTACGCGTATAATGCAATGCACTCATGTACAATATTTTTTCTTAAACCGCTTCACATCGTTTTTATTACCTTTGATACCACTGTAAAATATGTCTTATTCGTTTGTCTCTCGCCACAGTTTGTAGTAGTTTAATTACTACTATCTAATTACTATTATTCTAGAGTGTTTTCTTCATCCCTTTAATACTTTTTATACGATTCGTAGGCCTTAAGCCTACTAGGTCACTGCACATTTCCCCCCCATTTTCTTTCTCATGTTGCCATTTATGTTAAGCTTGTTCCTCTGATTCTTCTTCATAATGAACAATGACCATTGCCGTTATATATTAACATTCTGTGTGTATTCAAACTGCTGAATGCTTTTATTTTTTATCCTTGCCACTCAAAGCTGAAATTTATTCGAACTAATAATTCTTGCTCTGTACGCTTGTTTCAAATTAATAGGGGCTTCAAGTGCTAGTGTTGGGAGTCTAGCCTGACCAAATGAGGCGTTTTGCCTGCCGCAGACTGTCTCATTGATTCCTTTGTCAAAAGCGGACGGCTTGTACGGTCATATGCCTTCGCTGGGCTGTGCCTGAGCGACTACCTTAAACCGGACACACACGTACGTGAATCTACGCAGGTGCAAACTGGTCGCAGTACCATAACGGCCACTTAGGTCCGTCACG